AAGGTCACAGCTAGGAAATTACAATGGTAACATGAAAGCTTTCTCATTATAAAGGTAAAAATGGCCTTCGATGCTTGGTGTCTTAATGTGGATCATGGCTCAGGAAGCTACCTACCCATTCCTTCCCAGGACGTCCCCAGCATACCTTTACTGGCCTTTTCTTCCCTCCATCTCTAACAGCCACAGACCATAATCCGCAGCCTTGCACACACCACTCTTTATGGGTGAACTCTGGGAACATGTGAGGCTCTCCTCTCTCTCCAGAATGTTCTGATAAATTCCTACTAATCTCTGAAGTGCCAGATCAAACACTTTGTCTTTTTAAGAAGTTTCCCCCAACTTTCTCAGACTATCAGCCATACTCCCATTTGTAACTCAACATATGTCCAGCTCTGTGAATATTCCTGTCAGCTTGTGCTAGAATTACTCAAATCCTTACGTTTCCCTAGCCAGTCTACAAGCTCCTTGAGGTGAAGATAATATTACATTCACCTCTATGTCCCCTCAGTGACCAGATTATGCAGATTTTAAATAAACACTGAATAAAAGAAGAAATAAGTGGATCAAGAAACTGATTAATTAATCAGAAAAGGTAGGAAGTTCCATAAAACTAGAAGCCAAGAACTGTGTTCTCTAGTTTTTCCTCAATATAGGTTATATTAGTATTATTTTTAAATATTTATTTAAGTAACCTCAATATCCAATGTGGGGCTCGAACTCATGACCCCGAGATCATAAATGGCATGCTCTTCCAACTAAGCCAGTCAGGCGCCCTCCCTTTTTTCCTTACATATTTATTTTAGTATTATTTTTTAATACAAACTTCTTTCAATTTATACACAGTAATTTTTTTGGCATACAGTTCTAAAGTTTCAACAGATACATCGATTTATGTGACCACCACCACAGTCAGGTTGCCAAATATTTATATCACCCTGAAAAATTCCCTCATGCTTCTTTCTTAGGAAATACTTCCCCCACCCTGGAAATGACTGATCTATTTCTCCATCATTATAGTTTTGCCTTTTCCATATGTTCATATAAATGGAATCATACAGTATGTAACCTTTTGAGACTGTCTTATTTTACCCAGTATAATGCCTCTGAAATTCATCTATTTTCTTTTACAGATGTATGACAGCTTGCTTATCCATCCATCCATTCAAGGATATTTAAAGATATTTAGGTTGTTTCCAGTTTTGGGTGATTATTAAGTCTGCTACAGACATTTGTGTACAGGTTTTTGTGTGATTATAACATTTCTCTAGGGTAAATATGCAGGAGTGAGATTGCTGAATCATAAGGTGTGTGTAACTTTATAAGAAATTGCCAAAATGTTTTTCCAGAGTGACTGTACTATTTAGTATCCCCACCAGTAATATATGAGAGTTCCAATAGTTTTTAATCCTTGCCAGCACTTGGTATTACCAGTTTTGTTATTTTAGCAATTCCAATAGGTATTTATGTAATGATATCTCATTATGGTTTTAATTTGCATTTCCCTAATGTCTAATGATGTTGAGCATCATTTCATCTGCTTACTTGTCATTCTTAAATCTTCTCTGGTAAGTGGTCTGTTCAAACTTTTGCCTATTTTTAAAAAATTGGGTTGTTTCTTATTGCTATGTCTTGAAAGTCCCTTCTATGTTCTGACCATAAGTCCCTTGTTAAATGTGTGATCTGCAAATATTTTCTCCTAGTGTCTTCATTTTGTCTTCAGCAGAGCAAATGTTTTTTAATTTTGATGAAGTCCATTTATCAATTCTTTATTTTGTCAATCTTGCTCTTGATGCCAACCCACGGTTGTGGAGATTTTCTTCTATGTTTTTTCCTATATGTTTTATAATTTTATATTTAACATTTAAGAATATCCATTCTTGAGTTAAATTTGTTTAAGTTGCGAATCACAGGTTGAAGTTCACTTTTCTCCCATATGGCTGCCCAATTTTTTTTCAATACCATTTGTTAAAAATTACATCCTTTCTCCACTGAATTTGTTGTCTCCTGCAACTTTGCTCAACCTACTTATTGGTTCTAGGAGTTTTTTATTTTTGTAGATTTCTTGGGATATTCTACATTCACAATTGTGTCAATGAGGATAATAATAGTTTTAATTTTTCCTTTGCAATCTGTATGAAGTGCATTTGCATTTCATTTTTCTTCCTTTATTGCGCAGGCTAGGACTTTCAGCATGATGTTGAATATGTGTGGTGAGGCTAAATAAACATCCCTTCCTTCTTCCTCCTCTTACACGGAAAGTATTCGGTATCTCATCATTAAATATGATGTTAATTGCATGTCTTTTGTAGACATCTTTTGTTCGAGGTTCCCTTCTATTTTTAGTGTATTAAGAGTTTTGTGCTTTAGTTTTTATTCTGTCACTAGCTAGCTGCGTGAATTTGGGCAAATTTTAGTTCAGACTACCATGTCAGAAAAAAAAAGGAAATAAAATACATGCTGTGCCTTTTTGTGATGATTAAAACATGAAGATGTGTGTGTATGTGTGATTTTATAAGTAAGAAAGCTCTCACCACATAGCACAAAAGAAAGGCATCATGCATTTCATTAAGAGATGTAAAATACAATCTCTCCAGGTTAATGCAGTCTTGTTATATGCGTCTTCTAAATAAATGTGAGTTAGAGCCAATCTAAGTTGAGAGAAGATTAACTACTGAGAAACTGATTTTAAAAAACCTAGAAAATGGAACATAACTAATATATACTATACTTTAACCTAAGCGTGGCACATGACATTTATTCCTGTTATAGTCCTGTCTGCTTTCCTTGATTCTTGACAGTAGGCCAGAAACTATTCTATGTGTTTTACATTTTTTAATCTCATAAAATTTTGCAGCAGTCCTGCACCACAGGCCTTATCCAAATTTGGATCAGAATTCTTAAACTTTCATAAAATAGGTTTAAGCTTAATGTAAGAAATTAGCTTAATAAAACAAAACATGGGAGCTGTCCAGCAGTAGAAAAGGATGTGTCTAATTAAGCCTGAAGTCAGGGAACCTGAGGACACACTGTCAGAAGTTTTCAGGGAAGGGATTCCTACACTAGGTAGGAGGTCAGAAAATCCCATCAAGTTTTACCAACTCTAAAACACTAGAGCCAGCCTAGATCACATATAAGGCATAAAAAGGTTGACATGGGAAGCCATGCCAAGGCAGGAATCATACCAAAAACTGGCCTGTGGGTCATCTGAGAGCTACTATCTGCCCACCTGCTGCAGCCCTGGTTTGCTCCTTCATCCCCCTACATCTCACTCTTCCCCTAGTTTCTTTCTCAGCAGTAAGAGTCAGATCATATAATTTTAGATCCAAGCTTTACCACCCTTCTGATCAGTGAATTTGAATATGTGGTATTATTTTCCTAAGTCTTTTTTTTTTTAAAGATTTATTTATTTATTTTAAAGAGAGAGAGAGCACAAGTGGGAAGGGCAGAGGGAAAAGGAAAGAGAGAATCTCAAGCAGACTCCATGCTAAGTGCAGAGCCCGATGCAGGGCTTGATCTCACGACCCTGAGATCAAGACCTGAACCAAAACCAAGAGTTGGACACAGAACTGACTGAGCCACCCAGGTGCCCCTATTTTCCTAAATCTTAAATAGCTCTTCTGTTAAAAAACTTTTTTTTAAGAGTGTGGACCATCCCTCATCCTTGCCTGCTTCAGAGACTTAAATTTATTCAAGGATGAAATAAGACCAATTAAAACACATACACACACACACACACGCAGAAAAAGAAAGACAAAAATTAAGTATTCAGCAGAATGTCAGACATATAGTAACAAATGTGGCTATCTTCTAAGTCTTTTAAAAATTAAAAAAAAGCAAATGAAATATTCCCCAAAATGCATGTTTCTGGCATGTACCTGTGTTTGGTATCAAAAACAGTAGACTCCTCACAGACAAAGCACATGTGGTTTTACTTAATGTATTCTGAATGATACTCCAACACCCACAGCCAGGTCAAAACTGTACCTATACATTTTGTAATTTCTATAACATCCTTCTCCACTTGGTTAGCCTGTAACTCTCTGATGTGGGCAGGGCAAGGATGAGTACTCTCAGACAATGGAGGGATTTAGCACAGAGATCAGAGGGAGCTTCCCCAGACCCCATCACTAGGGGGTGGCAGAACCCAAGACCCCAACTCACAAACAGGTGGCTGTTCTGCTGCATTCCTCCATCACTACTATTTCCATAGACTTTGGCTCTATTGTTGACCTATGCTAATTATATTTTTATCTATTTCATAGAGATCATATATTTTCACATATTTTATATATGTTTAAGTTGACTTTCAGCTGATTTTTCCTGGGTAGAGAAGAGCCTTATAATAATATGATCAACTCCGGGAAGAGTAAAATGCTTAAAGCAGTACAAAATGATATGTTATCAGTCAAATTCAGTGTAAGATGTACGCAGGTGCACAATGTACAAAGGGGTCACGTGTTCAAGATCCCGGGATTCTACTGCTTGCTTGTAGGGACAATATAGTTTTGCTCACCACTGTATCTCCAGGGCCTAGAACAATGCCTGGTATACAGTAGTCTGTCCTTACATATTTGTGGAACGAATGAATAAACAGTTTGGAAAAAATTTCCCAGTGACTTTTTTTGGTAAGCTTGACTATATGAAGGGTTCATTTTTAAAGCTGGCAGCCCCTGTAATTTGCTGTGTGAATGCAAAGTACTGTGATGAGCTATGGACACCCCTATCTGAATTACACTGAAGATGCCAGGAAATTACTAACAGGAGCCTCAAAATTCATCACATTAACTCACATCCCCAGAAAATTCATTCCTGAGGGTTTATTTCAATGAAATGGCTCCCTCGGGACCAGAGGCCTCTCCCCCTACTCGGAAATAGGATGGATCCGGCAGTAATGGAGCTCAGGGCTTTTCATCTTCTCAAGCCATTAAAATGCAAATTGGGGGAGGAGAAGAACCTGCTGGCAGATCTCCCCTGGCCTCACCCACGGCCTCAGCACTCACATCCATCGGCGGTCCGCACCTCCATGTGCACCAGGTCCGCTTCCTTATCCAATCCGGCCACCGACCTGGGGAAGGAAGGAGACACAGAAGCTTAGTGACCACATGGACGGCAGACGACAAAAGTGGGAAAGCATTTCAGGGCTATTACTCAGAAAGCCACTTTCTCCAGAGGGGATCCACAGAGTATGGCCACTGGTGAGCCTGGCAGATACAGCTGTCACCTGTAATGCTCACAACTAAGGAGTCCTGGAATGGTATCAGGGAGTCAGTGACTCTCAAAAACAAAACAAAACAAAACAAAACAAAATGACAAAAAACCATGAAAGAGGACAGAGTCTACAGAAATCCAGGTCCAAACCTCTGTCCTTGCCTCTTCTCTACCACCTGGCACCTAAGAAGTTCTCTCTTCCCCACCATCTTCCTTCTTCCCACAACTCCCACCACCCACACCCCCTCCCCTGGGTCTTGCCATGCCTGATTCTTTCCAGCACTTTGCGCCCCTCTGTCCTCCCACTGGGAGTGTGCTATTCCCCACCTGTCCTGTCCTCTGGGGAGGGTGGTTTAGCCTCCGCTCTGGCTGTTTGCTCCAGGGCATTGTTGCCCTCCCGAGTTTGATGCTGTCTGCCCTTCCTTCCTCCTGCCCCAGAAACAATGAACGTCTGATGACAAACATTTAAAATCTGGTCTAACAAGAACAAAATTCTCCTAGGGATCAGGGTGGGAGAGCTTAAAAAGTCTATGGCCAATAGCCAAAAGAAGACAGGCTGAGAATCCTTACAGACTAATTCTTGTGGGCCTCCGACCTTGCGCACGTAAAGCCCAGTCAGCCATCCCCCATGTGAGATATCCAGCCTGGAGGATGACCCAAAAAGTCAGCTAAAAGAGGCAACACAGACATTAAAACATCCATGCACTAGAGAGATCACATAATCCACTCTCTTAGCAAGCTCTTACTCACAGTCTATTTACTTTTATTTTAAATATCATTCTAAGATGGGCTTTCTGGCTTTCCTGTCTTCAGCAGGTAAGAAGTGGCAAGTCAGAAAGAGTAGAATTTAAAAGAATGAGCATCAACAGCTGATACCCAGATAGCAAGAACATAGAAAAACCTATGAAAAACAGACCTAAGAACTCAAAACCCAATCCTCCACACCATAAATCTCTACACTTCTCACTGGCCCTGAGGCCATTACCAAATTAGAGCAGAGTTCAGTATCTGACACCTGTGCCGAGGGGAGGGAGGCAGAGAAAACAGGAAGCAGGGGGCAAGAGACATCCCACATCAAAATGGCTAGAAAAGGCTGAGATGCGTTCTGACCATGAACCGACCCATCCAGCATAGTGCCACACAACCAGGAGAGAACCTCCAACTCCCAGCTTCTCACCCAGGAGCAAAGGGTATGGTCTCCACATCTAGAATCTCAACTTTTAAGGCTTGCACCAGAGGGAAGGGCCCCCAAAACACCTAGCTCTGAAAGCCAATGGGGCTTATGTCCACTAGACGATAGCCAACAAAGAAGCAAATCTTCATGGGTGCACAAGCAAACACTGCAGCAATTGCCCTAGGGCTCAGTGCACCTTCTCCCCATCTTTCCCTGAAAATGGTTTATCTGCATACTTTAAAAGCTGCTGCTTAAGGGCTAGGCTTCTAATTTAGCAGGCTTCAAGGGGCTGATTGTGATCCTCCCCAGAGACAGAGGAAGCCCACTGACACCTTTTGCATCTTCTCTCTGTAGCCCACTCCAAGTTGTCAGTAGCTCTCTGGAAGGAGTTGTGCACATGACCACACCCCAGCTTTCAGGGCTGCTCCTCAGGGGATGGGTCCCCAGATCATCGGGCTCTGATAACCAACAGGGCTTCACTCATGAGTCCCAGAGGACTGCAGCAAACAAAGAAGCAGTTCTTAACCATCTACTTCCCCAAGGTTCGGTGCAGAGGCAGCAGGCTAAGAACACCCATCTCCGAGTCTTTTTGAAAGGGGTTTATCTGCATACAATAAAGCTACCGCCTGAGGGCCTGGCTTCTAATTTAGCAGATATCTGGGGGCTATCTGTAATCCTCCTCATGGACTGGGGAAGCTGGCAGACACTTCCCCCACCAGCCTGCTCCAATAATAAAATCAAGTCACCAATATCTCCCTGAAAGGAAGTTATACACATATCCGACACCCCAGCTCTTGTAGCTATCACTTGAGGGATGGGTCCCTGGATCACCTGGTGCTAGCAGTCAATGGGCCTTGCATTAATGAGGCACTAGCAAGACTGCAGCGAGCAAAGAAACAGTTATTAATGGGCACAAGAGCACCCCCACTCCCCGACAGCTACCCACCTGGGCCCAGGACTGAGGGAACTGGCAAAAAAAGTTTCTCCCTGAAAGCTTAACTACATATTTTCCCAGCTTGTACCTGAGGATGCAGCTTCTCATCAGCCTGTATCTAGACGCTGACTGCAATCCTCACTGACAGGTCTTGGGACATTCATAACTACTAAAAGCCACCAAGAACAAAGAAAGACACCTGGACAATCACCAATGACAGAGTTGAGAGACAGCTAAGAACTCAGTCAGGCTGGTCTACGAGGTTCTTCTCCTATATGAGATCACTCTGTCAAGACTGAAAGGGGTGGCTATTTAACTAATGTTCAGAAACCAACACAAAGAGTCAAGGAAAGTGGAAAATAAACAAATAAAACAACACAGAAAAAATATGTTCCAAACAGAAGAACAAGATAGATCTCTAGGAACTGATCTTAAAGAAATGGAGGTAATAATCTACCTGATAAAGAGTTCAAAATAATGGTCATAAAGATGCTTAAGTGAGGTCAGAAGAACAATGCATGAGAACAATGAGAATTTCAACAGAGACAGAAATATTAAAAAGTACCAAACAGAAATCATGGATCTGAAGAGGACAATAATTGAACTGAAAAATTCAATTCAATAGAGGGGTTCAATAACAGACTAGATCAAGTGGGAGAAAGAATCAGTGAACTCTAAGATGGAAGTGGAATTCCTCCAGAGGAGTGAAAGAAAAAAGAATAAAAAACGAGTGAAGATAGTTTAAGGGATTTATGGGAAAACATCAAGTGGACTAATATTCTTATTGTAGGGGTCCCAGAAGAAGAGAGAAAGGACAGAAAACTTATTTGAAGAAATAATGGCTGAAAACTTCCCTAACTTGGGGAAGGTAACAGACACCCACACTCAACAAGCCTGGAGAGTTCCAAAAAAGATGAGTCCAAAGAGAACCACATAAGACACATTATTATTAAATTATCAAAAGTTAAATACGAGTAGAAAATCTTAAAAACAGCAAGAGAAAAACCACTTGTTATATACAACAGAATCCCCATAAGATTATCAGCAGGTTTTTCAGCAGCAACTTAACAGGCCAGAAGGGTGTGGGATGATATATGCAAGTACTAAACAAACAAACAAAACCCTGCTAATCAACCAAGAATACTCTACCCAGCAAAACCGTGCTTCAGAAGTGATGGAGAGATAAAGAGTTTTCTAGACAAACAAAAGCTAAAGGAGGTCATCACATAGATCAGTCTTACAAGAAATGTTAAAGAAAGTTCTTCAAGCTGAAACAAAACAATGCTAATTAGTAACAGTAACATCTTCTAGGATGTTTCTGGAAAAATTAACATCTAAATCAGCAGACTGAGTAAAACAGATTGTCCTTCCAATGTGGGTGGGTCTCCTCCAATCTGCCGGAGGCCTGAATGGCACAAAAGAAGGAGTAAAGGAGAATTCACTTACTCTACCTAATATTTTCTAGCTGGGAAATTGGTCTTCTCCTGCACTCAGATAGGAATTTACAGCATTGATGCTCCTAATTCTTAGGCCTTCAGACTCATACTAGAACTACACCACTAACCGTTGAATCTCCACTTGCAGATGGCGAACTCTGGGCCTTCTCAGCCTCCATAATCACATGAGCCAATTCCTCCTAATAAATCTCTCTCTCTCCCAGTCTCCTCCCCCACCCTCCTATTGGTCTGTTTGCATATGCTATTGTCTCTTCCATATCCCACTGGTCTGTTCCTCTGGAGAGCCCTGATCTTCGTCCCATTCTAACATTACAGCCTGTTTATCCATGTAAGCCCATAGCATACTTGTGTGAGTGTGTTTCTGTATTTGCTTAAGCCATGAATTACAAAGAGAATGATTCTTATTAACATACAACCTATCAGACAGTGAGTTTCCTAAGGACAGAGACTCTAATTATCTTTCTCTAATATTTACTACTACACACAGTTCAAGATTAGGTGTACCTTCAGATTAAATGATAGGGATAAGAAATTTGTACTTCAAAGCTGCTCTGTCTCTGGATCCACAGGAGAAGAGATTAAGTGGCTCAACTGGCCAGAGGTAGAGCAGGGGAACTTGGGTGCTCCTGCCCTTTCCCAGCACACAGGAGAAGGCCACTGCCTACTTTCAGCCATAGTGCTGACATTAGCCTGGGCTTTCTCAACACTGACACTGCTGACATTTTGGCCTCGATAATTCTTTGTTGTGGGGGCCATCCTATACATTGCAAGATGTTTAGCAGAATCCCTGACCTCTACTAGATGCAGTGGCATCCCTGCAGGCCTGACAACCAGAACTGTCTCTAGATGTTGCCTACTATCCCCTGGGGTCAAAGCTGCCCCCAGTTGAGAACCAGTGCATACCTGGACACACTTAATTGATGCCTGGACTCTATGTCTCCCCTCCCAACAAGGCAGCAAAAATAAGCACACACAGATTTCACCTCCTCCCTTAGTCCTAACACTGTTGAGATGCCCACGAACTACTGCTATTCAGGGCCATACCACCTCATCAGGAAACCCTCTGACAATCGTCAGGTTCCTAATCTTAAAGCCTCCCAAAGCCCCCACTTTTAAAAACCTAACGTAAGAAAAGTGCACACAGATAGAGCAAGCAAAGAAATACGAGATGTAGATATTTTGTGATTTTTCTGAGGGTAGGCAGAAGTTGTAAGGGATAGGGCGCCTGGGTGGCTCAGTTGGCTAAGCGACTGCCTTCAGCTCAGGTCATGATCCTGGAGGCCCGGGATCGA